GATTCAAATAGACGCAAAATTTTGATCAAATTGTAAAATAACAATATTATGAATAGAAAAAAATACTTATATATATATTTTTTTTATATATCATATTTATGTGTAGATTTAAAAATTTACATCACTATGGTTTGGATAAATTTTTCTATAAACAAGAGGTTGTATTTCATATAGAATTGGATAAAATGAAAAATAATTTTATTGACAACAATTTTGATAAAAAATATAATATTGATAATACAAACAATCGGATGCTTAATCTACATGATTTTCAAATTATTTTTTACATATTAATTATTGGCTTCACTATAGCATTAATTTTTTTGTTATTTGAAATTTATTTACTTAAATCAAATGCACACAATTATATCATTGTACAAAAATAGAAATAAAAAAAAGTAAAGTAAAATTAAGTTTTACTTAATTTAAAAATATTTATTGCTAATTAATGTAAAAAAGTAGAAATATATAATAACTATTAAAAAAAATATTAACTTAATTAAATAATTAAATATTGTTATATACAAAAAAAATAATGTTGTATTATCAATTTGTGTTAATAAATTATAAACTTTAATATATTGATTAATTTATATTATTAAATGTTTGGTTTAAATATCTAAACTATTGTTTCATACTATTTTAACTGATTCAACTAATAAAACATTTTAAACACACATTTCTAACTAAAAGAGATATTATTAATATTAATAATTATTTAAATTAAATATTTAATAGATAAATAATTTATTTATGTTTTTATTTATCAAGTAAATTATTGTTCTTTTGATAATTTATATTATGTTATTAAAAATTTTTTATTTTGGTTTTAAAATCTAACTAATTGTAATAATCCTTTAAATATGTACTTATGATATATTATATCAATAAATTTATTGTTTTTTAAATTGATTTTTATTTATTATTATTACTAAAATAAAAACAAGTAATATAATAAAAAAAATGTAATATTAATAATAATAATAATAAAATGACATTTTGATTGAGTGATTGAGTGATAATTAATTTTTTTTGAAAATTAAAAAATAGCTATTAGTAGTCAAACAATAAATATGATAAATAAATAAATAGTTTTTTAATAATCATAAGAAATATCATAAAAATAAATGACGGGTTCGGACACTACAGGACGGGATTGGGTTTATAAAAGTGTCCAAAAAATATAAATAAAAAATAATTAATTGACTGATATTTTGCCACTAAGTTCTAGTGATATCTTCTCTATAAACCATTGAATCAGACGAAGAAATAAACATTTTTCGCTTACTTTTTCTTCGCCGTCTTCTTCTTCTTTTTCTTCTTCATTTGGTTTATTTTGATGCGAAAGAGATGACGAGTCGATAGTTTTCTTCTTTTGCTTCTTCTTCTTCTTCATTGACGACGACGGAGAGGAACTATCGTCGTCTTCGTTATCGTCAGTTATTGTCTGTTTTTTTAACTTTTTAATTGCATTTTCAACTAAAATACTTTGCATTTCTTCTAATTGTTTAATTGAAATCATTATTTCTTTATCAATCAATTCGATGATCACTTCCTGATGACTATGACTATCAATAAGATGTGTTCCAAGACTTTGTTCAGTCTCTTGTTTTTGTTGAGTAGATCTGGCTTTCAGTCGCTTAAAGTCGGCCGCAATGGACAACAACTTTGTTCGACTTAAGCGGAACTGCTCGACACTGACACGTCTAATGGCCGCTCGTGTAGACCGTAGGTCAACACCGCGATGGCTGTCGTCACCGCCGAGTAGACCGTCGTGTAGGGCGTCGGTCACTGCTGTTTCCATTTGGAAGACGGCCTCATTTGTAACCATTTTTATTTGACGCATAACGTTATCATTGGTGATAATTAATGCAGTGTTAGGAGGAATAGTAGTGGTAGTACCGGTGCCAGCGGTCATAGTAGTCGTGGACGTGGCCTCGATAGCAGTGATGGCAACCGATTTAAGTGTTGAAATCGATATCTCCGATAATGATGACGACATTGATTTTGTTGATTCATTGGTTAGTTCCGATTGATTGACAGTTTGGACACTTATAAGTGAAATAAAATAATAAATATTTTCTTTTAAATAAATCATTTTTTTAAACAAACAAAAATTTTTTTTGTATATTAAAATAAAAACTTGTAAAAAATTTTTTTATATATGAATTAATAATTTAATGTATAATATTAACTAATTATTTGCGTATTATATACAATATATAAAGTATAATGATTTATATATTAACTTTTTTTTAGTTGGATTATTATTATTATTCAAAATAAAAGTTGAAACATTTTTAGAAATATTAGTCAAAATATTATCATTATTATTTGATTTAATTTTTGTTATTTTAGTATCGCCAGTTTGTATAGTATTTATGTCAAAATTGATTTCTAAAAAAATAATAATTAAAAAAATAAATATATTAAATCTCAATTATATATATATACAGTACTGCATATAAAACAAACCCATTTTTGGTAAACAGTTAATAAAGTTTATTGTAATAATAATTATTATTACAGTAAATAAATTATTAGACATATTAGATGTACAGTAATATACCGCTAAATTAGTTTATAAGTTATATATATATATATATATATTTATATATTAATATCAGTTGATTGTATATATAATTAAAAAATTAAATCAATAATTATAACAATATATTATAATTACAGTATAATATGTATGGATATAATGCATTGAAAGTTATAATTTCAATGTTTAGTAAATTTTTTTCTATCAATTGAATTATCATTTTTAAAACAATTTTCGGATATAATGTAAAGTAGGAGCTGTGATCGCACCCTCTATTAGATTGAAACTTAACTATTGTGTTAGCACTACTAAAGCTACATATTGTTAAATATATACAGTACATCCACAGTATAGCATACAGCTAAGTGAAAACACTAATTGGTAAATAATAAGCACTTTATAGTTTATTAATTGTGTGTATAATTAATTATTTAGAAATTATTAATTATAGTGTAATACCATTAAAATTTAGGTTAGGTTGCGGGGCGTACACCAGGTTAGGTAACGTTAGGTAACACTAATTTACTATTACTTGACTACTACTGCTTGCTTTCTATGTATATGTTATACTGTATAACATACACAGTGTATAGTTTTAGTTAAACTAAAATCCAATAGAGGGGGTATACACAGCTCCTGCTCTAAATTTTGCCCCAATTTTTTTGTGTTTCATTTAAATACTAGATTTTATTTTAATCCCCTCATTAAACACATATACAAACTGTTAATCTAATCTATAATAATAATTTTAATCCTTAAAAATATTGATTTCCTATTATAACAATCAAAGTTTAGTATTGTTGTACAGTAAATGATTTTATTTAAAAATAAATAGAAATAACTGTATTTATCGATAAATATAAATATTTAATAGATTTAAGTGTATTATAATAATAATAATTATAAATAAAGGTTAGTTCACATATTGCGTTTGCACTTGAGGGGAGTGGGGGGGGGGGTTTGGCCAAAGCGTACTTTAGCAAACAAATGGGAGGGGAAGGGGAAGTGTCTTAATGTAAAAAATAAAGAAATTATGTGAATCGCCCCCTAATGTTAAACTTTAATTAATAATAAATTTTAATCTAAAATATCATTTATTTTATTTATTGATTAATTGATAATTATTAAATTATTAATAGTTTAAAAAATCATAAGTTTTATAATATATTTTCGGTTATTATAATTATAATTTTCAAATTTTAGTTATCAAAAGTTAATATAAATTGATTGACAAAATTAAATATATAAAAAACCAGTTGAGAATGCTAGAAAGCATTTCCATACGAACTCCTAATTTAAATAAAATCAAATTCTTCAGCAAGACAAATAAAACTCGTTTTTAGTCATATAGGGATTCAAATGACTCAGAATGACAAAATAAACTAAATCTTATTCATGTGGGGTATCAAATGACTCAGTATGACAAAATAAACTAAATCTTATTCATGTGGGGTATCAAATGACTCAGTATGACAAAATAAACTAAATCTTATTCATGTGGGGTATCAAATGACTCAGTATGACAAAATAAACTCAACTATTCATTTAATATAAAATAACTAAAATAAATTATTATATTTATTCTAAATTTAACCTAAATTTAAAAATTATTAACTCAAGTTTCATTTTTTATCTTCTTTAAGATAAAAAAATTAGTATGCTAATTGCATATAACTTATTTATGATGCTTAGTTCCAATATAAGAATTAAATAATAAATTAAAATTTTTTGTACATTGGCCGGCATTTTCTCTATTTTCCCGAAGAGATATCAAAATTTTAATGCTGATCCCCTATACCTTATTTTTGTTGCTTAATCGAAATCTGAAGTAAAAAATATAAAATTTAATAAAATGCGGACGGACGGAAATATAGAATTCAGATACGTACTCCTTTCAGGAGTTCGTGATTATGACATTTTAAAGTATTATATGTGTCGCACATGTATACCAGCAAACTTTGCATAGATAGTGTGGAACTACATGTATATACAAACACACAGTCTGTTATATATAGTGAATGAAAATATATTTAATTAAATAAATAAATTTTAATTAAATATTATATACATTTAAAATATAAATACATACAAAATATTTAATTAAATATTTAGCATTTTTCGTAAATATAATAAAATATTAATACATAAAACTGTAAATATATGCATATCAATAGTACTGGTCATCAAAAATCATTGAAAAATTGGAGATCAAAACAAGTGTCAGTACAAGACTCACTACTAACACCAAAAAAATGATTTCAATAGTGATTTGTGTAAACTGTTGGTGACATTGAATATACCGTTTCATAAAATGATAATCAAAAATAAATATTTAAATAAATATTTCGGTATTTTTTAGCAAATAAATAAATATTTTGATATTTTTTAGCAAATATTTTATTGAATATTTTCAGTTTTTAAATAAATATTTTTTAATGCACTAGTTATATATCTATGAATTTTTAACGGGAATCCTAATGGTCACTGCCTTACACTCTGTATACTCCCGTATACCGTCTTCGCCCAATTCACGGCCATAACTGGACATCTTATAGCTGCCAAACGGTGTCTTAACCGCTGCCGTATCGTAACAGTTAACCCAAACCGATCCGGCTTTGACTCCCTGTGCAAACACCAGTGCTTTATTTAAATCATTGGTCAGTATAACCGAACCTAAACCATATTGTGTTGAATTTGCTCTTTGAATCACTTCATCAATTGATTTATATTTCAATATTTGCTGAACGAGTCCAAACATTTCCACACATATATAGAATCCATAAAACAAATTTGAAAATATAATGATTAAAATACTGTTTGTAAATATTTATCAATATTTGTTTATTTTATGTAACAAATCTTTTTTAAAAAAATTTTGATTTAATAATAATTTTTTTAAATAAAATAATTTCTTTGACTTTGTTTAGTGACTTAAATTTAAATCAAGTATTTTTGACAATAATATCTCCAAACTGATGGCTAGATTGTCGTTCATCATCAATGTCTTCACAGACGTCATCCATGTTTTTCTGTAATTTATTGATTCTATTCTTTAGATTATCAATCAATTGATTCCATTCGTTGTCTAAGTCTTCCTGAGTCACATCCGATAAGTCTTTGCCAAACTTTCTTACTATAATAAAATCAATTGGATATGAATTTACAAATATTTTTCGTAATATAAAGTCATTAATTTAGTTATATATATATATATATGAATACCTAAATCCTCTTTTTCAGCCGTAAGTCTAACCCTTTCTTTATAGAGAACCATAACTTTAGCATTTTGTTCATTCATTAGATCATAATTATTGGCCATTTGTTCAATACTTTGTCTGTAATGAACATCGATATCCATCAGCTCAACGGCCAAAGCCTCTGTGTCTTCCGGTTCGCTATCATTTTCATCAGCACCTGTAGCACCAGTAGCTACTGTTTTATTGTTGTTCAACTGTTTTTCTTTAATTTTTCTAATTATCAACGAATCGTACTGTTTTTGTACCTCCCGGTCCTCATCGGACACACGTCTCAATGTTTGTATTTGATGGGCAAATATAGGAATCATATCCGATAATTGTTGTACCAATTGGTCGCATATCTGACGCATAGATAGATCGACCGTTTCTGACATTATGCTCATTGAAAATAAATTGACTGATTATATCAATTAGCTATCAATCAATAACTTATTAGATATTTAAATTAAATCATTATTTTAATAGCGCGTAATGTATAAATTCAATAATATTATATATTTAGATTATACGAAATTTTGATAACATATAAAGTAAAGTAAAATTAATTAATACTAATAATAGTGAAAAAAATAATCTATAAATATTATAATAGAGGGTTTAACAAAAAAAATGTTTAAAAACTTAATTAAGTTTATAATCAAATAATTTTTAATCGATATAAAATAAAATAAAACAAAAAAACATAGAGAAAAAACTATATTTTATAGCAAACAATTTTGTTCAAAAATAAGATTTAAATTAAAAATTCATGAATTTTTGACAATTTTTTTGATCAATTGATGACTTGATAGTCTCTGTTGATTAATAATATCAATAATATTATCAATAATTTTCTGAACACTATTTTGTTCAGCTCTGATACTATCGATCAGTTCATCCCATTCTTCATCGATCTCTTGTTGACTACCATTATGTGAATCTTCTGTTTTTTCATTCAGTTTAATCAAATCTATTGTAATTTTTAAACTTTGTTCGCATTTTTCTTTGATTTGACCGAAAATATTGGACAAACTGTCGATTTCTTCTCTGTACTCATTAATCAAATCTACTAATTCTGTGACCAATATTTGTTTGTCTTCTGATTGTCCATTAGTTCCATCTTTTTCCTCATCTTCTTCTTCTTCCTTTTGTTCATCATTTTCTTCATCGACTGTAATTGTATTGTTAGACTGGTATTGATTGTGTTTTTTAATCATAAACGAAATATACTGATCCTTTATTTCCTTGTCTTCAATGCAAACACTTCTAAATGTTTGAATTTGATGGTCGACTACAACAGACAATTCAGACAATTGTTGTACCAATTGATAGCATATCTGACGTTTCGAGAGATCAATCGTTTCAGACATTATATCTTTGTTTGATTATCAATGGGACTGTTTATATCACAATTATTAGTCAAAAATTTGGCTGTTCTATAGTATAGCTCCCACTTGTTGAGCACGCGATTATTATTTCCATATATTTATATGTATTTTAATTTAGTTTAGGTTAGGTTAGGTCACGTGCGATTTTGTAAATTTAACGTTAAAACTGTATTAAATAATAATCGCGTGCTCAACAAGTGGGAGCTAACTATAGAATCCCCAAAAATTTAAATAAAATTATTTATAGCACATAATGTTTAAATTTATTTAATAAGTTATTTATTAATTAATATTAAGTTTAAACTAACTCATATTATAAAATATATTTAACTGTAATAGATGATAGTGCTAAAAAATTTAAAATACAATTATTTAATAAAAATCATAATATTTTTAATAAAATCATAGTTTTATTAAGAATTTATGACAATAAATATTTTATTGCAAATAATTTTCTAAAATACAAATTTAATCGATAAATAATAGAGTATATACTGTACATATATACTGGTATTTATAATACAAATTTATGTATTTTTAACAACAATATCGCCAAACATATGACTAAACTCTCGTTGATTTTCAATATCTTTGGCAATTTTGTCGATGACTTCCTGCAACTCATTGATCTGTTTAATGATACTATCAATCAGTTCATCCCATTTCTCTTTGACGTCTTCCTCATTCCGATCAGATTCTCCGATCTTTTTCCATTCAATCACTATTTATATGTATATAAAAATAATTTTAATTATTGATATATTAAGATAACTAAATAATAAATAATATTTTTTATTACCTAAATCTTCTAGTTTTTCAATAGTTTTGATATGTTTTTTGAAAATATTGAGAATAGATTTGATATGTTTTATGTATTCAACAAAATCATCGGCCATATCGTGGGTTAGTTGTCTGGATTGGACATTCAATTCCCTGTATTCAATGGCCCATTCGTTTGTGTGGATCGGTTGGTCATATTTTTCCTCTTCAACGACTGTAGATGTATTGTTTGACTGCTTTTTATTGTAGATTTTAACCATCAAAGTGACGAACTGATCGCTTATTTCTTTTTTCTCATCGCTTACGAGTCTCACTGTTTGGATTTGATGGTCGACTACTACTAACATATCTGATAATTGTTGTATCAATTGGTTGCATAACTGGCTTTTCGACAGACCTACCAATTGGGTCATTATTTTTGTTGTTTGATACCCAACTGATAGATTTGTAATTAATTATTTAAAACATAATAATATTTATAATTTATGCAAATGACAATTATTATTATTATTTATAATAATTTTATAATCGCGTGATATTACAATTAAATTATAACTAAATGATGAAAATAAATATATAACTTTCGGTAATTATATTTTTAAATTATTAATTAAAATCTTTTCAATTAAACTAATATAATCATATAATTAAATCATTTTTTAAAAAAGCACTTTATATGGCATTGCCATCATAATGGCAATAACATTTACGATAATGAAATATTATACAGTATAAAAAAAAATCAATTATCTACTGTATCAAAATTTATTTAAGATATTAAAACTTCAGTTAAGTTTAAGCTAAAATTTTTATTAATTTTTATAAAATATATTTAATAAATAAAAGTGGCAGATATTTAAAATACAATTATTATTATAAAAATCATTTCTTAAAAAATCATTATAACTCTATTAAGAGCTATTTTATTGATAACAGTTTTGTAAATAAATACAATACATAAAACACATTTAAGATGATTTGTATTGAAAAATAATTTACAGTATAAACTGGTATATAATATAAATTATGTATTTTTAATAACAATATCGCCAAACATATGACTAAACTTTCGTTTTTGTTCAATATTTTTATCAATTTTGTCGATACCTTCCTGTATATCATTGATCTCTACTTTGATTTTATTGATCATTTCATCCCATTTTTCTTCGACCTCTTTCTCACATTTATCCGGCAATTCATTTCGCAATTCATTTGCTATTTATATTTTAAATACAAATTATATACAAAACTAATATTAGATATTTTAAAAACCGTATAATTATTACTCAAATCTTCCAATTCTTCAATAGTTTTGACATTTTCTTTGAAAATATTCAAAAGTGATTGAATGTGATGTTTGTATTCAACAAAACAATCGGCCATTTCGTGGGTCAGTTGTCTGGTCTCGTCATTCAATTGCTGGTATCGTTTGGCCCATTCGATTGTTTGAACCGGTTGTCCATCATTTTTCTCTTCAACGACATTAGATGTATTACTCGACTCTTTTTCAACGTGTTTTTTGATCATCAAATCTAGTAACTGATCGCTTATATCTTTTTTCTCATAGCTTACGAGTCTCACTGTTTGTATTTGATGGTCGACTACTACTAACATATCTGATAATTGTTGTACCAATTGGTTGCATAACTGGCGTTTCGACAAACCTATCGATTGTGTCATTATTTTTGTTGTTTTTATTTGCTTTGATATCTAACCGAATAGTTTCTAATTAAACAATCAAATAAAATGCTAACAATATTTATAACATTAGTACATATTATAATAGTTGTTATTATTTGTTTAAATATTTTTATCTCGTGTTATCTAAAAAAATTTGATTATTAAAACTTGCAATTAAAACACTAGAACTAATATTGTAAAATTCTATAAATATAATAATAATGCATTTTTTAAAAGTTTAATTAATCTTTTTAATTAATAACGCTAATAATCTATTTATATATAATTTGATTAACAGTTATACAGTTAGCAATGCAACTCAAAAAATTAATTTAATTATTTAAGATTAATAGATATATAAAATTAACATTTAAAATAATATTTCATTGTAATTATGAATTTTATCTTAAAGTATTAATGAATAAATAACTATTAAATTGTTATCATTATAATTAATAATATTGATTTTAAAAGTAAAGTTTAAAAAAAAATTATTTTTATATATAAAATATTAAAGCTAATCAATACTATCAATACTAATAAATAGATTATCATTATTAAAAAATACATAATTTTACTATTTAACATTTACGGTAATATGATATTTATAAATAAATAATAAACAACAATATTAATATTACAAATTAAAAGAATAATATGATATATTCTTTATTTAATTTATATAATTTTCAATTGTCTATAATTGTTGAAAATATTTATATATAAATAAAATTATGCTATAGTTAAAATGAAACATTTGAATAATATTTATTGCATAAATAAATAAGTACAATATATATATATATATATAATGTATAATAGTAATGTTGTTTATATCAGTTCATTCAACAACAAAAATACCACATTATAATACTATAGATCAGGCGATATCACGATTATTATACGGTCCCTTATTTAAAAACATAATTACTGACCAAGATAAAAAACAAAAAAATTATAATACACAAATTTAATAACCTTTTTTATATAATATTAAATAAAATATACCACTTAATTAAAATTAATATGTAACAGTGTATTTGAGCTAGATCAAATATATTATAATAAACCATAAGCTTCGACAATGCATTTTAATCAAAAGTAATCAGAAATCATTATACTGATCACCAGTGCTATAGATTGTCCTAGTTCAGTTTGTAAAAAAATAGTTTTTTTGAAAATTTTATGCTCCGTCAGGTGCTGATCCTGGTGAATTTTTTTGTCAACTAACCCATGTTAAAATTAGTCAATTTACATATAGGGGCTTCAAAATATATGATATACTACCCTATTTATGAAAAAATTTATTATAAAATAATTAAATATACATATTGAAGCTATTATTATTTAAGATCGGGTCTCACGATGAGGTCGATAATCAGGGTGACGCTTGGGGTTCACTGTGAGGATAGAACTCAATGTGAGGTTGGGATTTACGGTGACGGGGTGAGTTATGGTAATGTAGAAGTCAGAGTGATTCTGGGAATCACGATGACGGCTGGTTCGGGTGACGTCAATAAGAGTACCAATATTGTTAAAATGATACACAAAGAGTTAATGCACAATAATAACTAACTTTATTAATAAAACAAATAAATAGTAAAACACGTGTAAATAATAAAAATAATTGGTAATGATATCTCAGGTGTGTACTGAGTAAAAGGTAAAGTGTTAGAGAGCGATGCGGATGTATTACAGGTGCTTATATAGGGAAAGGTAAGTCAAGTGGTCAATCAGGTATGAAAGGGTTAGTACTAGGAAGGGTAGGGTTGACATCTATTGGCATCATTCCCCCGCCGTTATCGTTCGCACGGAGGTTGAACGGCTTCAGTTGACTGGAGTGCGCGACGTAGGATAAAGTGTCTGGGGATTCATCATGAGTTGGTCGAATAGCATAAGTTTCATCACCCAGACTCCTGATGATGATATATGGTCCCGTATTTGTAGGTGAAAGCTTGTGTTTTGATGGATGATGTGCTGCAAGTTTGCGCACAACTAGATCTCCGGTTTTGAAATTGGATGCTGTGTGGGATTCATTGTGAATTTGTTTTCGCTTTTCTTTGTCTTCATCTGAGCGTCTTATTGACTCTTGTCTAGCGATGTCAAGAGATTTCGTGTCGCAGAGAGCGTCAGATGGAATTCCAAAATGTAAAAATTGTGGTGAGTATCCTGTTGTTCCATGTGGTGTTCGGTTATATTGATCAACGACCTCAGGTAGAAGCTTTGACCAGTGTCTGTTAGGTTGATCGAGTCGAGTTGATTTAAGTTTAGTTATGATGATGTGGTTTGCTTTTTCACATAAACCATTGGCTTGAGGATGATACGGTGATGATAACGTGTGATTTATGTTTTGCTTCGATATGAACTCAGCAAATGTCTTTGAAATGAAATTAGTTCCTCTGTCGGTAATGAGTTGTTCGGGCCTCCCTATGAGTTCGATGAGATTCTTCATGAATCTGACTACAGTTTTAGCTTTATTGTCGGCGGTTACTTGTGTCCATACGTGCCGAGAATGATGATCGACTATTAGTTGTATGTATTTTGATTTTGCACTTCCAGTCGATCCCATGACAATTGTGTCCATTGCCCATAAAATGTTTGGTAAAATCGGTGTTGGAATAGGTTGTAGGAGTCCTAATGATTTCCTGTTTGAAGGTTTTACTAATTGACAAGTTTTACAAGTTTTGACGTATGATTTTATACTGTCATCTACCGATGGCCACCAATAATGTCCAGTAAGCAGCTGTGTTGTCGCGGCAATTCCCGGATGTCCCATATCGTCATGATAATGGCGTAAAACCTCTATTTGTAACGTCGGAGGCACGTAGTATCTGTTGAGACCTTTATGTCTATACCTTATTATCCCATTATCATCAATATGACATTTTGAATCAATGTGATTCCAAGACTCATAATGAGTTGCGAATTCATTATGATTTCCGGATTCACTATGAGTCATTGGGTTTTGCTTTTGTTGAGCCATTTTCAAACGATTTTGATCAATAAGAAGCGATATTACCGGATTACGGGATAATGAATCCGCTGCCTGATTACGAACGCCGGGCCTGTGATGAATTGTATAGTTATAAACAGATAGTCTTACTGACCACCGAAACAGTCGATTATTTGAAGTCATTTTGATATTCAATAGCCATTGTAGTGCTGAGTGGTCAGAGTGGATGTCAACATGTTTGCCGTGAACGTATATATGCCACCTTTCCATTGATTCAATAACGGCTAAACATTCAAGCTCGGAAGTAGTATATTTGCTTTCGTGAATATTAACTCTACGTGAGTAGTACGACACTACGCGTTTATGCCCATCATCGTCGGGTTGCATGAGGATCGCTGCGATTCCAATTTTACAGGCGTCAGTATGAATTACTACTGGTTTATCATCTCTATAGATAGCCATCACTGGCGGTGTTGATAGAGCCTCTTTGAGAGTATTAAAAGCAGAGATTTGTTCGGTACCCCAAATAAACAGATTATCTTTACGTGTCAAACGTGTTAATGGTTCAGCTATCGATGAGTACTTGTTGATGAATCTGTGGTAAAAGTTACACATAGGAAGTTCCACGAGGAACTGTTGGATATCGTGTTGGTTTTTGGGTGTTGGATAATTGCGGATTGCTGTACTTTTAGATGGTGCCGGAGATACGGTTCCGTTTTCGATTACGTGACCTAAATATTCTACTGAAGTCACTGCGAATTTGCATTTCTCTTCACGAAGTCTAACATTGGCTTCACGTAGACGCTGAAGTACTTTATTCAATAAGAGGTCATGCGAACGCTGATCCGGTGCGTGGATTATTATGTCGTCGAGGTATGGTATCACGCCATTGTTTAGTAGGTCTCCCAATACATGTCGAATGATTCGTTGAAATGTTGGCGGAGCGTTCTTGAGACCAAAAGGAAGAACAAGCCACTCATAGTGACCGTCGGGAGTGACAAATGCTGAGCGTTCGATTGATTCGTTACTCATAGGGACGTGCCAATAGCCCCATGCCATATCGAGTGACGTAAATCTACGTGAGTTCGATAGTTGGTCAATAATGTCTTGAATTCGGGGAAGAGGTTCACGTTCGTCGATTGTGATAGAATTAAGTCGTCGATAGTCAATACAAAGTCTCGCGGATCCATCTTTCTTCTTTGCGAGTGTTACTGGTGAAGCGAATGGAGACTTTGAATGACGGATTAGTTTCTTGTCGAGTAGTATTTTAATTTGTCTTCTGATTTCGTTGAGATCTGCGATCGAGTGGCGATAAGGTCGTTGATGTATTGGCTGCTGCTCAGGAAGTAGTCGAATGTGATGAGATACGTTTGGAATGCGGCCCACGTCATTAGGATCCGCTGAAAATAATTGAGGGTACTGTTTCAGTACGAGTCGTGTAGACATTGGAATAGATTCATATTGAGTAGATGTCATGTTGACTTTTATGTGACTCGCGTTGAGTCCGCAAATCTTTGGTCGGCTTGTAGTGAGACAGAGCTGTCTTTGCGACGAGAGTGAGGTTTCTTGTGTAACGAGCTTCCGTTTGAAGTCGAGATGCAAGCCGAAGTCAGCACAGGTGCCGTCACCCATGATGAATGGCTTGGGAGAGTCTTTGAGGACGTGCGCGTGCACTTTAAGTACTGTTTTGTTGATGCGAAGAGTGATTGTTAGGCGGCCGTCTGATTGAGAAATCCCATTGATTCCTGCAACGGGAATAGCGGTTCGTGGGTCAGGCGTTTTGTTGAGTACTCTGGCGAAAGCTGTGCTCATTATGTTTATGGTAGCACCAGAGTCGATAACTGCTTTAGTAGGAATATCGTTGACCCGTACCGCGATCTCAGTTAATGACGACCGCCCAAAGCGTTTCCCTGAGCGATGATGTCCTCAGACTGATTATCGTCTCCAGTAAAATATGATACGCCTTGAGGTCGCGGATTCACATTGAATCTATCTCTATATGATGCTTGATTTGGTCGATTTGTCTGGACAAATGGATTATTTGCTGACTGTTGAGTAGCCAAATTTCTGATATTTGGCCATTGTCTACGACACTCGCGATGCCAATGCCAAGCAGTGACACCAGCTTGGGAGCATTTGCGGCACGGACCGGGAGGTTGATTATCAGATTCGTTTTGACGATTCGGTTGTACGGCCATAGCATATGTTTGACGTCGAAATTCAGGTTGAGTACGGGCGTCAGCTTGAATCTGAGTACTCAATTTGAGTTCCTTCATTTTAGATTGACTACAAAGTCGAGATGATTCCAGTCTCTGAGCCAATGTTAACCATTCTATGTGAGTTTTAGGTAAGGCACACAAGAGGTAACCCTTATATGACTCGGGCATTCCCGCAGTGAGTTGTCCGACGATATTGTTGTCGTTGAGGTCTGCCTGTCGTAGAAATCGCATTTTCTCATCAAAGTAGTCTTTAACTGTCTCATTGTTGTTTAGTTTTCTTTCTTGTGCAAGAATTAAGGCGTCCTCTCTTTGAGATGCAAATCGTTGTATGAATTGTCCTCGTGTTTCAGCCCAAGTCATTGTGAGTATATTCGGGGCAATTTCGGTTGCATACCAATTCAAGGCATCGTCAGTTAGGTATGTCATAAGCTCATAGGTTCGGTCGCTTTCGGCTAAATCTCTTGTTGCGACTTCAAAGAGTCCGATCCAGAGATCGGCTCTTATAACAGTTTTGTGGCCATTAAACTTTTCAAGAGCCGGGCGTTTATTTCGACTCTGATTGAATCCGTCCGACATTGTATTTGTAGAAGTGCTTGTAGTCATTTCAGTTTGATTTCCGGTTATTTCCGGTGTTCGAATTCGGTGACCTGAGCGGAGAATAATTTTGGATTGCGGAGGTTATCCTACCGACGGTGCGCCAATTGAAGCTATTATTATTTAAGATCGGGTCTCACGATGAGGTCGATAATCAGGGTGACGCTTGGGGTTCACTGTGAGGATAGAACTCAATGTGAGGTTGGGATTTACGGTGACGGGGTGAGTTATGGTAATGTAGAAGTCAGAGTGATTCTGGGAATCACGATGACGGCTGGTTCGGGTGACGTCAATAAGAGTACCAATATTGTTAAAATGATACACAAAGAGTTAATGCACAATAATAACTAACTTTATTAATAAAACAAATAAATAGTAAAACACGTGTAAATAATAAAAATAATTGGTAATGATATCTCAGGTGTGTACTGAGTAAAAGGTAAAGTGTTAGAGAGCGATGCGGATGTATTACAGGTGCTTATATAGGGAAAGGTAAGTCAAGTGGTCAATCAGGTATGAAAGGGTTAGTACTAGGAAGGGTAGGGTTGACATCTATTGGCATCAATATAAATATTATATACAAATATACGATCTGTTGTGAAATAAAAATATTATGAAATATTTTTAAACATAAATTAAAATCTTTGTTTTTGTATTTTATAATATAAAATACATTTATTAGTACTGTAATTATCTAGATTTTAACTGAGAAAAAGTCAAATTTCATTTGATACTAAACAAGTATTTTAGTTATCAAAAAATAAATAAAACAATCATTGAATTGTAATATTCAGTTAATAATAACAATAATTTATTAAAGAAATTATAGAAATATAGATTTTGACTTTATTTACATTAAATTTGTTATTAGACTTTAAATAACAACAATTTGCTTATTAGTAATCAAATTATTGCTTAACGCATCATAATATAAAATTGACTTTTATTTGATTAATTTATTTTTTAATTTTATTTATTTTATTATAACTTATGATAAACAAGCAACCTTGGCAATAGTTCAGATTTTTAAAAAATAGTATTTAACTACTGTAGAATAGATATATTTAATCAAATTTCATTTAATAAAAATTATTAAAAGACTTTATAAAAATAAAATAAATAATTAATAATAAATCAATTTTTTGGGGTAAACAATTTAATAAGTAATAATTTATAGTAAAAATCAATCAAAAATGTTAACAAATAATCAAATATCTATCGCTTGGAAAGATCTTAATGTAAGTGTGAAGTCTTTGTTTGGCAAAAATGAAACAACAATATTGTCGGGCATTTCGGGAGAATTTTATGAAAAATCGTTGAATGTTTTGATGGGAGCGTCCGGATCGGGAAAGTCAAAACTTTTAAAATGTTTGAATGCAAGTAATAATTATATAATAAGTAGTGAATCAAAAATATATGTCAATAAAAATGTGACAAATATTAGAAAATGTTTTATATATCAAAATCAAAGTCAAAGACTAATGACTGGATTAACAGTTAGTCAAGCGTTGACTTATTCATCAAAATTGAAAAATCCGATTCAATATAATGACCAAAAAGTTGACCACAAAAAAATTGTTTCGGATATAATGCAAGAACTATTGATAAGTGATATCAAAGACAATAAGATAGACAACTGTAGCGGCGGTCAAATCAAACGCTTAAGTATTGGCTTAGAGTTGACATCAGTTTGTAAGCCATACCTATTGTTTATCGATGAACCGACAACTGGTTTGGACACACACTCAGCAATTATGGTATTATTTTAAATAAACTTTTAATTATTCATAAATTATTTATTATCCTTTAATATTAGGTAATCTCTTGTTTGAAACAATTGTCTCGCAATCATAACATGTCTATAATTATTAGTATACATCAACCAAACAATGAATTATATCAAATGTTTGACACAATCTATGTGTTAGCAAAAGGTGGACAAACATTATACTCCGGTTTTACTAATAATTTATACCAATTTATTACTGATAATCAAATTGAATGCAATAAAAATCAGTTTCCATTAGATATGTTAATGAAACTCAGTTACAATGGCAATGATATACCTAATATTAATAATAACAAACAAACAAAAATAACTAATAATATTAATAATAATCTAATTCTAATGAAATCACAATCTGTTTATCAAACAAAATCGTGGCTTAATTTATATGATATATTTATTAACATTAAACGACATATACATAGTGTTTATATATCTCAATGGATGATCACATGGACATTATATTTGTTTTATTTTCTGTTAAACATGATATTTGTTACATGTTTTTCATCTGATATGTCTACCATTGATGGCTGTATTGATTTCAGTAACTATTTGGACGCCAAGACATACGCCGATATGACATATGAAGCATATGTTTTATTTCAGACACAATCATATCTTTTTATGTCATCATTTAAATTGTGTCTTATTATTTGCTTATATACTATTTATACAGTTTATCAAAATTCAAAAATTATATCATCTGAATATAAAAATGGTAATTATATTAATGAAATTTTGAAATTTTTATGTTAAAAATTTGTACATTTGTTAGGTTGGTATTCAATAACAACATATTATTTAAGTAAACTATTTGTCGATACTTTATGGACATCAATATTTGCTATTATTTACCTTGTTTATTTTTTCTACGTTTTTAAACTTGATACTATTGACAAACATATTTATGCGACAATTATATTATTGATGTTTATATTATGTGCTCAAAAATTTTCGTCAATTATTGCAACAATATTAACAAAAAAAACTACATTAATATTTTATATAACTATAGTTTTTATAATGCTTTTTTATCTTAATAGTAATATGATGTTTCGTATTGACAAACAATCAGATTTAATACAATTTATTAATAATTTGAATTTTGTTTATCCATTTTATAATTCATTTGTTGTTATAATCTATGGTCTCGATAGATGTGACACAAAATCATTGCCGTTAACTGATTTACATTTAACCGATAATATGCTTTACAATAGTTTATATTATTTTCTCTATTGTTATCTAACACTATGTTGTTTGGATTATTTAGTTATATATATTAAATTTAATAACTTAATACATTGTTTATCTATTAGTTTAAAATATTTCAAAAATAAAAGCAAACAAATTATAATAATCAATAATAAGAATAGTCTGAATCATGTCGATGAAGAAAATAATAATAATAAAAATCAAAATAATATTATGTGTCAAATTGTAATGGACAATATAAATCATATGCAATTGTCATCAGTAAATAATGACCTGGATATATTTATATTATTTAGAGATCTTTCATATAAAATTAGTACAAATTTAATTAATAAAAAAATTATATTAACTAAACTGAACGGATATTTTAAAACAAATACCATATCAGCTGTGATGGGACCGTCCGGTTCGGGAAAGACTACTCTATTAAAATGTTTGAGTAAACAAAATAAAAAGACTTTAAATAATGAAAGTAAAATATATATGAAAAGTGGAAAATATAAAACATGTTTTATAGTACAAGATATTAGTGAACACATCCTATCGTCACTGACTGTCAGACAAACACTATTATATGCATCAAAACTGAAGAACTCATTAATAAAGGAAACATTGGATCATAACTTAATAGTCGATTCATTGATGACTGAACTGGGAATCGATGACATCAGACATAACAGTGTCGACACTTGTAGTGGAGGACAACAGAAACGTATTGTTATTGCTTGTGAACTGACATCTCATATAAAACCAGATCTCATGTTGATTGACGAACCGACCTCTGGATTAGATAGTAGTGCTGCACAAGTGGTTAGTAATATTGATATAACAAAAATCAATTAATTAAATTATTATATATATTTTGTTTAGATTATATCACATATGAAACAATTATGTCATAAACATCAGATAACTATCATTACATCCATTCATCAGCCAAACTACGAGTTGTTTAATATGTTTGACAACATATATGTATTAGGAAAATGTGGACACGACTTATATTTGGGTCAACCACAACATCTTAAACAATATTTGACAGATTTGAATATATCATACGATGACAATCAGTTACCACATGAAGTGCTACTCAAAATTGCATCCGATGTCAATCATAATGATTTTAAAACACTTCAATTGTGTTACGAAAACAACAACAAAATATTAGAGAAAAATTGTAATCAAATGAAATTATTAATTAATATGAGAAAACAATTTCGTATAATTGATATCTACTATCTATTGGTGCGATCACTCAGTTATTTTGTCCGTCATTTATATTCTGTGTTAATTCTCGAGATATTTGCATACATACTGTTTTCAGTGATAATTAAACTTAACTTTAAACAAGAGATTACAGAACCCGATGGTTGTCGGGATCCCAGTGCTCCCATTGACAGTTGGTTTATTGTATTAACTGAATTGGATAATCAATATTTGATTAAACAAAATTTTTTGTATAATATAGTAATATATACTTTAATAATAGTAGCCGATAGTGTATTATCATTACAATTACTTCACAACGAGTTTAAGCTATCGTGTCGTGAGATATCTAATGGTATTTATTTAAAATTAATATAACTATTTTAAAAAAATAATTGACTTTACATTAATTTACTAATTAATAATAATCTTTTATAAATTAGGTTGGTATAGCTCGAGTGCATTTATTTTGGCTAAAACCGTAACCTATGCCATAATACCTACTCTAATACTTATACCTTATTGTTATATAATAAATTTATACGATATTCAAATGTATTTTATATACTATACAATACTGTTTATATCAATACTATGTTCTCAAAGTTTAGCACAAATTTCTTGTATTATCTTTAAAAACAATTATCAGTTGGCATTAATAATGCTATTGTTTTCTGTTATTAATTGTGGAATATTAAGCAATAATTTTATAGCTATTCGTGAATTGCATTTTACACTTCAATGGATCAGTGAATTGTCATTTACAAGAATGGGATTTGAATGCACATTGATATCAATTTATGGTAACTGTGCCGATGGACAGGTGTCATCCATATTGGAAATGTATGCAATCGATGGCACTATGTTTTGGTATAAATTCATACAATTAGTAATGATTTGTGTTGTTCTAAAAATCGTATCAATTGTTTTAACAGTCTTTAAAACAAAACATTAATCAATTTTAAACATATTTTAAGTTTGTTAATGTTATTAATATTTAAAATTTTTATTAGATTAATGTTATAAAATATAATATATTGTCATTTATTATATAATTTATCCATATACTGTATATAAACATTTTATACACATCATAGTAGTCTAAAGATTAATTAAAATTTAAATGATTTAATTTAAAAGTGACACTAATTGTATATTTGTATACATTTTAGTACAATATTTATTATCAAATCATTTTTTACTTATATTTAGAATTTTTAATAGATTTTATTAAAGTTTATACGAAATAAAAATACTTATATTTAAACAAAATGTTTTGATATCTCTAAATGTACTGTAAATTTACATAATTAATTAATTAATATTAAATATTGTTGTGTATTAAAGTAAAATTAATATATTTTTGGAAATAATTATAAAATGAAAATCGAGAATCAAAAATAAAGTATTTTAAATCTCATTTCGGGGATTATAACCCATACCTTCTTTAGTACCCACCATAACATCCCTATCTGTTTGCAAAAAAAAGATTACAATTGTTTAATTGATTATTTAAATTATCTCTCTATATATTTGCAAAAGTTTAGATTTTAAGCTGAAAAAAATCTGATTCAAATGTACAGTATATGTCATATATATCTGTAATGATATTAAGATATCAAATATTTATATAATGGATAGTATTTATTAAAATATATTAAAATAAGTGAACAGTTTTTAATTGTTGTTCAATTGGATTATTCTGGAAATCAGTTTAGATATAAAAGTTGAGAAATAATAAAATCAATTTAATTTGTTTTTAATTTATAAAATAAACCAGTTGAGAATGCTAATATAGCATTAGCAAAACAAATTTTTAAAAATTAAATAAAATTATATTCTAGTTAACCATAAATCGGTTGGGCAAACCTTCCGAACCCACCCCAGCCCACCCCCAGTGGGTTAGTAGGGAGAGGTTTGAACTGCTTTTTAGGGGAACTCAGATGTTTGGCCGATCGGTATCTCAACCGTCGGCATCTAAACACTCGGCAATAAGGAAACATAATACAGTAATCAAACAACAAAACTATTTATTATCACTTAATTCAAACATAACAATACCATCGGATCGGTTGTACTAAAGACCGACCTTAACTTAACATAACTAAGCGATTAATATGATTGTCACTAATAAAACAATAGTTAATATACCAAATAAGTAATATACGGTACGGCCACCAAATGTGACATCCGTTTAATGTTAGAACTTAGACTAAGACTAACTATATATACAAAAAAAAGTATTCAAAAGTATTGGGAAAATTACTTATAAAACATTAATCATAAAATTATAGTCAAAACAATGTTTGTACAAAATGTATGACAGATTTGAATATAACATGTGATGACAATCAATCATTTATTGATAAATTCTTTAATCATTTACTTCATATAAATTTCTTAAACATTAAATGTTTAATAATAAATAAAAATTATAAAATTATACATTATTTCTATATAAAAGAGATTAATTATATTATATATTCTGTAATTGTCAATAATTATTTTATTTTAAGTATATATATATCTAAAAAAGTATATAATTGAATTTAATAAATATAGTAAAATATAGTTATAATATTTATTTAAGACAACTATTTTATAGAGTATTTATCAAATAAAAATTATTAAAAAATAAGAAAATGAAACATGTAAAATATTATTATTGCAAAAATCAATAAATATAACAATAGTTTGTATAATAATAGAGTTACTTTATATCAATATAATAAATTAATTTTTTTATTACAAAACTTTTTTTCATATTTATATATATGATAATTTAATATATAGTACATGTAATACACAATTAAATTCAAACAATGCACCTAAAAATAAATTTAATTAGCAAATATAGTATTAATTATTATAAAATAATCATGTCAAAATAATATTGAATTGTAATTATGAATCAAATGTTAAAATATTGTAACAAAAATAATTAATAAATTGTTTTTATTATAATTAATAATATTGATGTTTTAGTTATAAAAATCAATAATTTATTGTTATACTAATAAAATGTTTTAAATAAAACAATTGTTTGTAAAAAATACTATAATTTGAAATATGGATACTTATTGTGCTAAACAAAAACTATTTGATAAACTTTTATCACATAATTATAACAATAATACTATTATTGTTGGTATTTATCCAAATGAAGTAAGTCAACTTTTAATAATTAATTATTATAATGATTAAAAATTAATAATTAAAATTATTTAAATTATGTTGAATAATTTTTCTCAATAAAATTGTTTGTTAATGTTTTTATGTAATAATTGTCAATAATTTAATACTTAAGGTAATAAAGAAATGGTCAAATGCTGTACTATTTTGCAATAAAGTTATACATTTGTTGGATATATTGGAAAATACACTTAAATTAAAGTTAGTAATAGATTATTCCGGTATATATATAATAATAATATTAATGTATTTATTTATAATTAAAAAAAAAAGTTTTTAAAAAATAAAATTTCATATACTAATTAAACTGTAGTATAATAATCAACATAGCTGATAGTAATAGTGGTGGCAGTATTAAAAACGGTACATGGACAGGAGCTATCAAACCTATGGTTAACAATGTAATAAATTATCAATATATCTATTAAATTTTCTAATAAATAATCTAGATAAACAAATTTTAATAATGTTTTTTAATAATGATTTATTTATATTTGAAGCAAGCAGATTTCTATTTAGTTGTTTTCATGTATGACATCAATAGAGGAAATGTCGTTAATTTTCCATTTCTCTTATCAAATGAGGGCTCAATAGCAATGCTAAGTCATCCGTCTATACATAATAAGCAAAATATTGTATCACTGTTTCAATATTTTGATCATTGGATTTGGATATGTATTATCCTGTCATACATTACTGTCTATACTATTAATTGTTTATCAATTCCTAATTTGTTAAAAAGATTACATTTATTAATTGATTATTTGAAAATTTTAGTTGGAAAAGGTATTTGTACTTAATTTACAATTTACATGTTATGTATATTGTATTGCAAATATAATTTTTTGAATTTTATTTAATAAAAGTATATAATTAAACTTATTTAATGCTTTAATTGGCATTTATATAATACTGTATATAGATATAAAAATGATTAATAAAAATTATCTACTAATTTTATGGATAATTATGTGCACTATATTGGTATATGCACTGCAAAACAGTATACTAGCAATTTTGGCTACAAAACAATATCATATTATTGAATCAATTGATGAGCTCAGATACGAGCACAACATAAAGGTGCTGACAGTTCAAAACTCACAGTCACATATCAAACTTAAACATGTAATTATCATATTTAGATTTTTTAGATTTCATATTAATAAGTTATAGTTGTGTACAAACACACACACACACACACACACACACACACACACACACACACACACACACACACACACACACACACACACACACACACACACACACACACACACACACACACACACACACACACACACACACACACACACACACACACACACACACACACACACACACACACACACACACACACACACACACACACACACACACACACACACACACACACACACACACACACACACACACACACACACACACACACACACACACACACACACACACACACACACACACACACACACACACACACACACACACACACACACACACACACACACACACACACACACACACACACACACACACACACACACACACACACACATGTAACACATTGTCATTAAAACATTGTTTTTTTTTTGGTATCAGGAATATAGATTTCCATCAACTAGACTTATTTATTTAGATTACATTGATAAATATAAACCATCGACAATATTAAAATTAATAAATAATAATCAAGTATTTGTTAGCACCAAACCAGAGTTAGACCTAATCTATGACCACTATATGCAATACGGTATCATTGAAACGGGTGACTATCAAGAGTCCTATTACTCCAGCTATATATTTGGCAAACGTTTCAATAGTAAACTCAAGAAAATGCTGATTCAAATGTAAGTCATATTTATATTGTGATTATAAAAATATCAGCAAATATTTTTATAAATGGATAGTATTTGTTAAAATATTTGTTTGTTTTTTTTTGTTTAATATAGGATCAAAAATGTTTATCAATACGGCATTTATCTATATATTAATAAACATGAAGTCAAATTTTATTTGATATTAAATAAGTTTAACAGTTTAAATAGTTATCAAAATAAAACAACCATTGAATTATCATCAGTCAATAGTAGCAATGATGAGCACCGGGTGCTAAATATTATGGATTTTGCATTTATTTACATAGTATATGTTATTGGACTTTCAATAGCAACTGTTTGTTTATTAGTTGAAAAAATTATTGCTAAACAAAATAAATGATAAAATAACTTTTTCATTTGATTTGATTAATTATATTTTTAGTTTACTTTAATTTTATTTTGTGGTAAATTATGAGAATTAAATAACCTTGGAAGTAGTTCAGGGCCTTAATTAAAAGCAATACAACAGTATAATTTCAGTTAAACAAATTTAATATTATAAACAATTATGAATAATAAAACGACAAATTAATAAAAATTATTTACTAAATAATTTTTTATACAATAGTTTTTTAAGTAAATATCAATTAAAAATGTTAACAAATAATCAAATATCTATCGCTTGGAAAGATCTTAATGTAAGTGTGAAGTCTTTGTTTGGCAAAAATGAAACAACAATATTGTCGGGCATTTCGGGACAATTTTATGAAAAATCGTTGAATGTTTTGATGGGAGCGTCCGGATCGGGAAAGTCTACACTTTTGAAATGTTTGAATGCAAGCAATAATTATATAATAAGTGGTGAATCAAAAATATATGTCAATAAAAATGTGACAAATATTAGAAAATGTTTTATATATCAAAATCAAAGTCAAAGACTAATGACTGGATTAACAGTTAGTCAAGCGTTGACTTATTCATCAAAATTGAAAAATCCGATTCAATATAATGACCAAAAAGTTGACCACAAAAAAATTGTTTCGGATATAATGCAAGAACTATTGATAAGTGATATCAAAGACAATAAGATAGACAACTGTAGCGGCGGTCAAATCAAACGCTTAAGTATTGGCTTAGAGTTGACATCAGTTTGTAAGCCATACCTATTGTTTATCGATGAACCGACAACTGGTTTGGACACACACTCAGCAATTATGGTATTATTTTAAATAAACTTTTAATTATTCATAAATTATTTATTATCCTTTAATATTAGGTAATCTCTTGTTTGAAACAATTGTCTCGCAATCATAACATGTCTATAATTATTAGTATACATCAGCCAAACAATGAATTATATCAAATGTTTGACACAATCTATGTGTTAGCAAAAGGTGGACAAACACTATATTCAGGGTTTCCACAAAATTTAGACCAATTTATTGCTGATAATCACATCAAATGCAATGAAAATCAATTAGCAATAGATATGTTAATGAAACACAGTTACAATAGCACTAATATATCTAATGTCAATAATCATCTGAAAACTAACATAATTAAGAATATTGATAGTAATCTAATTTTAATGAAATCACAATCTGTTTATCAAACAAAATCGTGGTTTAACTTATATGATATATTTATTAACATTAAACGAAATATACATAGTGTTTATATATCTCAATGGATGATCACATGGACATTATATTTGTTTTATTTTGTGTTAAACATAATATTTGTTACATGTTTTTCATCTGATATGTCTACCATCGATGGCTGTATTGATTTCAGTAACTATTTGGACGCCAAGACATACACGGATATGACATATGAAGCATATGTTTTATTTCAGACACAATCATATCTTTTTATTTCATCATTAAAATTGTGTCTTATTGTTTGCTTATTTACTATTTATACCATTTGTCATAATTCAAAAATTATATCATCTGAATATAAAAATGGTAATTATATCATGAAAATGTTGATATTTTAAGTTTTACTTATTTTATACTTATATATTATATTTGTTAGGTTGGTATTCAATAACAACATATTATTTAAGTAAATTATTTGGCGATATATTATCAACATCAATATTTGCCATAATTTACCTAGTTTATTTTTTCTACGTTTTCAAACTTGATACTATTGACAAACATATTTATGCGACAATTATTTTATTATTGTTTTCATTGTGCGTCCAAAAACTAGCATCAATTATGGCTACAATATTCACCGATAAAATTATATTTTTATTTTATATGACAGCAATGTATATATTAGTGTCATATTTCTACAGTAATATAATGTTTCGTATTGACAAACAATCAGATTTAATACAATTTATTAATAATTTGAATTTTGTTTATCCATTTTATAATTCATTTGTTGTTATAATCTATGGTCTCGATAGATGTGACACAAAATCATTGCCGTTAACTGATTTACATTTAACCGATAATGTACTTTACAATAGTTTATATTATTTTATTTATTGTTATTTAACATTATGTTGTTTGGAGTATTTAATAATATATATGAAATTTAAAAAGTTTATTTATAGTTTGTTTAATTGTTTTAAATGTGCTTTCAATAAACATCAACAAAAACAAATTAATATAAAAAATAATATGAATGGATATAATGATGATAATTATAATAAAAATAATAATATGTGTCAAATAGTAATGGATAACATTAATGATTTGAAATTGTCAAATATAAAAAATGACCAGGATGTATTTATATTATTTAGATCTCTTTCATATACTATTAGAATAAATTTAATTAAGAAAACAATTATTTTAAATGAATTGAACGGCTATTTTAAAACTAATACCATATCAGCTGTGATGGGACCGTCCGGTTCGGGAAAGACTACTCTTTTAAAGTGTTTGAGTGCACAAAATGATTACTCTTTAGATACTGAAAGTAAAATATATATTAAAAATAGTAAACATAAGTCATGTTTTATAGTACAAGATATTAGTGAACACATCCTATCGTCACTGACTGTCAGACAAACACTATTATATGCATCAAAACTGAAGAACTCATTAATAAAGGAAACATTAGATCATAACTTAATAGTCGATTCATTGATGACTGAACTGGGAATCGATGACATCAGACATAACAGTGTCGACACTTGTAGTGGAGGACAACAGAAACGTATTGTTATTGCTTGTGAACTGACATCTCATATAAAACCTGATCTCATGTTGATTGACGAACCGACCTCTGGATTAGATAGTAGTGCTGCACAAGTGGTTAGTAATATTGATATAACAAAAATCAATTAATTAAATTAATATATAAATTTTGTTTAGATTATATCACATATGAAACAGTTATGTCGTAAACATCAGATAACTATAATTACATCCATTCATCAGCCAAACTACGAGTTGTTTAATATGTTTGACAACATATATGTATTAGGAAAAGATGGACACGACTTATATTTAGGTCAACCACAACATCTTAAACAATATTTGACAGATTTGAATATATCATGTGATGACAATCAGGTGTCACATGAAGTGCTACTCAAGATTGCATCCGATGTTAATCACAACAATTTCAGAGAACTTCAATTGTATTACAAAAACAACAATAGTTTGCCATTAGATGATAATCTTAAGCAAATGAAGTCAATAATAAATATGAGAAAACAATTTCATACAATAGATATCTTCTATCTATTGATGCGATCTTTAAGTTATTTATTCCGTCATTTATATTCTGTGTTAATCCTCGAAATTATTCTATACATACTGTTCTCAGTTATATTAAAATTCAATTTTAAACAAGAGATTACTGAACCCAATGGATGTCGGGATCCCAATGCTCTCATTGACAGTTGGTTTACTGTATTAACTGAATTGGATAATCAATATTTGATAAAACAAAATTTTTTGTATAATACAGTACTATCTGCTATAATAGCAATACCTGATAGTATATTATCGTTACAGTTATTTCACAGTGAGTTTAGATTATCATGTCGTGAGATATCTAATGGTATGTATTTCAAGATATCTAATATATTAACATATTTTAAAAAAATAAATAAAACAGACTATACATTAAATTACTAATATGTTTTTTATAAATTAATACATATTTAATTTATAATTAGGTTGGTACAGCTCTAGTACATTTATTTTGGCCAAAACACTAACTTACGCCATAATACCTGTGCTAATAATAATACCTTATATTTATATAACCAATTTATATGATATTCAAATGTATTTTATATACTATACAATACTGTTTATATCGATGCTATGTTGTCAGAGTTTGGCACAAATATCTTGTATTATCTTTAAAAACAATTATCAGTTGGCAATAATAATGCTATTGTTTTTTATTACTGTTTGTGAAATATTAGGCAATAATTTTATAGCATTTCGTGAATTGCATTACATATTACAGTTGGCCAGTGAGCTGTCATTCATAAGGATAACATTTGAATGCATATTAATATCCATCTATGGTAACTGTGCGGATGGACAGGTGTCATCCATATTGGAAATGTATGCAATCGATGGCACTATGTTTTGGTATAAATTACTACAATTGATAGTAATTTGTGTGGTTTTAAAAGTTGTGACAATTGTTTTGACAGTCTTCAAGACAAAACATCAATCAATTTTGAATAGATTTTAAGTTTATTGATGAAATTAATAATTTTTAATTTAAATAATATTTACTTATTTTATATATTTATTAAAATTATTATTATATTATTAAAATAACACTTTAATATTTAGGTTTATTTTATATATTTATTATTTTATTATTAAATATTACTTTTAAACATACGTTAGTTTTTATTTCTTTATGTAGATTTTAATTTAAAAATTATGGATGTATAATAGATTAATGTTTTTTATAAAAGTAAAAGTAATCTATTATTTTTACATTGCTAAAATAAATATATATGGTTAACTCTAGATATATAAGAAAATTGTTCATTATTTATAACTATTTATATTAACGGGTTATTAACGCGATTAATAAAAATAATAATTAAAAATTTATTTATTATACAAATAGCGTTTTAAAATACTTTAGAAAGTTTGGATAAATTACTTTCTTTAATTGTATGACTAATTTTTCTTATATTTATTTACAGACAACTATCAATTGGCAGTAATAATGCTATTGATTATTATTTTTTTGTAATATATTAAGCAATTAGTTTATAGCATTTTTTGAATTGCATTATACGCTTCAGTTGGCCAGTGAATTGTCTTTTATAATGGTATCATTTGAGTTCATATTAATAACCATAAAATAATCATCAAATGGTAACTGTGCCGATGGACAGGTATCATCAATATTGGAAATGTATGCAATCGATGGCACTATGTTTTGGTATAAATTCATACAATTTATAGTCATTTGTGTGGTATTAATAGCGATTACAATTATTTTGAGAATTATTTTTTGAAAAATTAATTAATTTTAAATTGATGTTAATTTTTGTGATGTTATTACCGGTTATATTACTCTATTTATTACACTAATATACAATTTTATTTAAAAAATTTATGTTTTTAAAGAATTGTGTTTTATAAACTTCATTATTTTTAATGTTATAACTTTTTATGATTAAATAATATATTAATTTATATTAAAAACGTTTTTAAAATAAATTGTAGTGTCTAATTATTAATTTAATTATTAAATTATTTTTTATTTGATTTAATTTAAGAAGTACATTGTTTTATATTTATGTAAAATAATAAATAATAGTAATAAAAGTAATAAACATACAAATAAGCATTTTATTTACTTTAAATCATTTTTAGTATAAAAATTCTAAGTTTAAAATTATTTATTTTTCTCTTATTGTATTTTATTTAATATATTTAAATAATAATCAGAGTAGCAAATTGATAAATTATTTAATTGTATTTCTTATATATATTCATAAAAATTACTCTATTATCAATTTAGTTAGTATTTTGAAAGTTTTTTTATTTAAGATAAATAAATAAATATTATAATAAAAATTAAATGTATTTTTAAAGATAACAAAAAATAAGCGATTTATATTGAAATTTTAATATATTTATAGATTTTGTAATTTTATTTCTATCACAGTAGGCGTCAAATAAATGTATTTCAATTTTATTAAATGATATATGAATAGTAAAAAAAATTATTGAAATATATGTAAATACATAATATAAATATACTTAACATTTATATATCATCTATTGATACAAAATATATACAATAAAATCAAAATGTTTATGATATCTATATATCAATTCATTTAATAACAAAAATAACATACAGTTAATAGATTATTAATCATGTATTTTATTTAAATCATGTTTATTATTATTATTTATAATGTATATAAAAAAATTAATGATTTAAATATTAAAATTACTTTGAATACAAAAAAACTGAACAATATATTGAAAATAATTTATAGTATATTTCAACTAAATATATAGCAATTTCTCACAAATGATGTGATTATATGTAAAGCAATTAGAGTTTTCGTGAAAAAATATTTTATACAATTGGCTGAATATTTAAAATAATATATAATATTATGTTATTGTTGTTGTTATTATTATTATTATAATATTAAAGTCCATACATTGTGTAACACAATTTGTGTCATAATAAATGGCCAATTATTTGCTTATGATATTAATCTTTAAGTTGAATAAATTATTTTATTATTATTATTATTATAATAAATATATTGAAAGTCTAAATCTTGATATAATATAAAGATCTTTTATTGTCTGGCATATGTCTACATATAAAATACGTTTATATTATTATTATTATTATTATTGTTATCGTAAAGTTAAGGTTTTTTTCAAATATAATTATTATGTAATCTTTTTGTGTGTGCAAATATATGAGTAGAAAAAAACAAAATAAAAATCTAAGTAAATGATGAATAAAAAATTATAAATTAAAATTGTCTAATCAAATGTTGCTTTTAGTAATAAAATTTTTTTTTTCTCTAAAAAACAAAAAAAAACGTCTGACAATAAAAATAATAAAAACATTGATGTAAAATATTAAAAATTAAATATATTCTACAATAAAATAAAATTTGAATACTATTTATTGCTACACTCCTTATGGTTTGTGTCATATTAATAGCATTTTTTTACATAAAAATCTAAAGTGAAAAATACTGGAAAAATTTATTTGCAGAATAATTGTTTGAAAATTTAAATTTAAGAGCCAATCCTATGTTTTTTATTTTGTTTTTTTATTTCTTATTATAATTTTTTTTCATATACTATAGTTTTTCTATGAATCTCTCTTTTTTCTCTCTTTCTATAATAATAATATAATGCTAAATAAAATAAAGTTATTATACAACCTTTATAGTGTTTTATTAATACTATAACATAAGTAACATTATGGTCTAATATAGGAGTGTCCCATTTAAGAAACCAACATATAATTACCAATTAACATTATTTTGATTTAGAGATTTGCAAATAATATATTCATCAAAACATATATCAATAAATAGTAATAAAGTGTGAATTTTATATACACTTATATACTTTTATATACAGATATTACAATTTTAGTATATATGAATGTATACAAAATAAAAATTATTACTTTTAAATAATAACATTTTGATTTTTAATGTAGATTTTAATGTAAAAATTATACATTAGTGTAGTGTTTTAAAGTAAAAGTAATCTATTTTTGAAAATAATATTAAAATAAATATATATATCTTATAAATAAATAAATATATTATAATATACAGTATTTACACTAAAAATATTATATATATATATAAATTTAATCAACTTTCTATACAATAAAATAAAGATTACAAGAAATGTTATAAAAATTGAAATCACAATAAAAAGAAGGATATATTTTTTAATTTAAAATTTATTTCAATACAAACAAAAAAATTTATGGGAAATGAATTGTTTATTAACATTAAAAAATGGTAAAAACTAGTTAACACATTGTAAATATATAATAATTGTTACATATGTATTATTTACAATATACTTAGTATTAATCATTATATTAATAATAATAATATTTACTACCGTATTCAAATAAGGATAAAACTTTTATTATATATATATATATTTGTCAATGTAAATTATTTATGTTTTTTAAAAAATAAAATTTTAATACAATTGTTAATAATTAAATAAAAAATATTTCTACAAATAAAGTATATTGTAAATTTTATTATTAAAAATGATTGTATTTACTGTACTGTATTAATTAAATAATATAATAGATATCAAATTTATTTTATATTATATTATTGTATTATTTGAAAGTAAAATTTTTTAATAAATTTTCACTTTTCTAGTTAATAAGTGAGAGAAAAAAATTTATGATATTAATCAATAATATTAATTTTTATAATAAAATCTAATAATATTATTTTCTCACAGTTTGCCTAATGAGTAATTTTATTCAAGAAATTAGTTACTTATTATCACACATTTATCTAATGAGTAAACAAAAAAAAACAAAAAAAAAATCAGTTAAGTGTTAATTAAAAAACTATTATTTAGTAACAGAGTTGGGTTTTTATAGATATAAAATGTTATCTTTTCATTTCATGCGGGAATAAAATAACAACAAAAACCATACAATTGTTTGGTGAGATTTTCACAAATAATTTTTTAACCATAAAATGCAAATCACGACTTTCTATTAGTCCCTTAAATAGGGTATTAATCTATTAATTTTCTATTTAAGAAAAAGTATTTTATAATTAATTTTCACTCATTTATTTAACTCTTAAATCTTATATATTTTCAAGATATCAATATATATATAGTTTAAAAAAAAACATTTGCTAAAACATAAATAAAACTGAAATTTAATTATATTTTAGTGGGTTTTCATAGAGATTTATAGTTAGAATGAATATACAGTATATATACAGTATATATACGGTAATAATAGTATTATAGAAATAGTTATCTAAAGATTTGTTTTTGTTTTTTTAACAAAATAAATTTAATCTGATTTTAATGATTCATTCAATTATACGATTAAATGAATGTGAAATAAACTAATAATAAAAACAATTATTTTGTTATTTTTTCAGACTATATTTAGTATCAAATAGTATATTATGTTTAATTTAGTAATATTTTTAACTATATTATAAAATACAATAATAATATTTTTTTTGCAAGACTACATATATCACTGCAAAATAAATTATACTGGTATTTAATAAAATAAAATAATTTTTATTATAACAAAAAATAATTGTTTATAAATATAAATAACGTGTTGAAATAATCATTAATCTTGATGAAATTATTCAAATTAAGTTTGCATTTAAAATAAGCTTATTAATAAAAAAAAATTATAAGTACATATATAAAAAAACAAATAAAATTTGTAAATTTATAATATAAAAAAAATTAATATACTGTATATTTAAATATAATGTGTACAATATGCATTTTACATTGTTCTCATATTAATAATAACAATAATAATAATAATAGCTGCTAACCTATAAAACAATAGTAAATTATTTTATTTATAATTTTATTAAAAATAATAAAATAAATAAAACATTTTATTTAGAATCTAAATAAATATCTGATATTATTAATGTACATAAATTATACTTTATTTATAATTAATACAAAGTTTT